GTAGCTGCCACCAGATCACATGTTGATAGGTGGAAACTTTTTATCTAGGTTTCCATGTCCTTCAAATGTTTGATTTGCCATCCTAATAGAATTAAGATGCTACAATGATGTGGGTGAGCCATCTATGATGAAATGACGACATTGACTTTGTTCTCTAGTGAGTAAGAGATGAGGGAAGGGAAAGAAGACGAGGTATATGTCTGTGGCTTCGTGTATAGGTGTTCAGTGGCTTTGTTGACCCAGGGTTTTTTATTTTTCTTTATTTCGTACTGTTGGCCTAGCAACAATCTTTAGCTTTATAAAATCACTGACAGTTCATTTTATAATAGACCGTGTTGACTCAAACTCTCTTATTTTATTCCCACCACCATATTTAAAGTGGATTGACCTTTTTGTATAGGATTATATAATCCAACAAGCACCATTGTAGCCTTTTTTCTGGACATCTATAAAATCCTTTACATGTTTCAGAAAAAGAATAAAAAAGGGGATTGGCCTTGGATAACTATTGGTAAAGCAAAAGTTTTGCTAAAGCTGCTTGTTTCGTTTGGGAAGCAGCACATGAAGTTTGCTTAACTCATGATAATCTGCAAAGAATAGGCATTGTCATCTGCAGTACATGTTACATATGTGAAGAAGCAAATGAATCAGTTAATCTTCCTGCATTGCAAATATACGTGAAAAATTTGGACCATGTTCATAAATTTGGAATTAATAGGCCGTGCCTGGTAATATACAGCAAGTAATTATTTGTTGGAATGGACAGAAGATCTGGAAGAGTCAAAGACAGTGCTACTTGAATGCTATTCCCACTTGTATAAGGTGGACAAATCTGGGTCAAGAGGAATATAGGAAAGTCTTGAAGGGAAAAAATAACTCAGTTTTCATGTGAAATTTAGATGTTCAATGCATCTTTTCTTTGGTGTAAGAAGTATGTTGTAAATGACTTAGACGCTCATGAAACCTTCTATATTCCTTATACATAAGAAATCATCCTTCCTTTTTTAGTTTTTAGCACCATCTTGATACCCTATCAGTAAAATTTATCTTTCATTAAAAAAAAAGGTTGCCATCAACGTTTAGGATAATAGAGGTTAACAATAAACAGAACATACACCATGGGATTTCTTACTTTTATTCCCTAAATATGCTCATTTAGGTGTTGGCCTGCGTACATCCTACCCTCCCCAGACCCCACTTGTGGGGACTACACTTGGTATGTTGTTGTAGATAATTAGATTGTGTGGACACCATACTCAAGTTATGTGCATTTTATCCCTATCTTGTCCCAGGAATGATATTCGTTTACATTCATGTACCCCGAAATACAGAACCAGACAAGTTTGGTACCTTTGGCCAAGCCTCCTAAAAGAGTTTGTGTAACAGGCTACCTCACATATTATATCTAAATAGATTTAGTTAAGCTCCTGTAACAGTTCGTTTCTCTTATGTTTTGTTCATTCTTTGAGGAGGGAGAAAATCCTCTTTGAAGATGATGGGTTGGGCGGTTTGCTCTCTCTTGTTTGGATAGAATGACTTAATGATGTGTTCCCGCAGGCACTCTATTTTACATATGCCAGCCTCATTTTGTCTGCTATTATTAATTCTTATCTGCTTTTCTGTATATTAAATCAGTTGAACAGTTCAATAGAAGAGCTTTTGATGATATTACGTTTCACAAGGCAGATTTTCTCTTCTTTGTTTTTCTCTTTTTCTAAATTTGTACAGGTTATAGCAGATTGTTTATCTTAATTATGATAGCATCTTCACTCGCTTATTCCTTATTTTCCTCTTTCAATGTATACAATCAGTGCGACACAGCTTGTCTTAAAGGCTCACAAAGAGGCTGTGAACTCATTAAGTGGAAATGGGTCAGCAAAATTGGGAACAGTGGCCACTGTTGTCGCGGCAGCTAATTCAACTGCTCTTGAAGCTTCGAAGGAAATCGAGGCAGCAATGCAGATTGCAATGAGAAATGCTTTAGAAGCAATGTTGAACCGTACACCTGATAGCCCTATGGATGACCTGTCAATAATGAAGGTAAAGAAAGCGTGCAATTTCCTTTTTCTTTTAATCAGCAAGATTTGTTTTGAAGTACAACTGAATCTAGTCAAACACATGCTAAAATGATGTGGTCCTTCAAATGTTTAAATTTCTGCTATGTTGTCTTAGATGATTTTCTCTGTAGGGCCTTGGTTTTCGTGAAAAGTAGACACTAGCTGTTTGTACTTTTCGTTTCAGAACACGTTTTTCTTTTGATGTGACTGAGTGACTCTGCGTCTTTCTTATCTTATATCTCCTATAAGAGGGATTAGATTTTAGGGGTCAGCTTTAAAACCTTCAGGTTGTATGTAGAAGCTTTATTGCAGTTGTCTGCCACCTACATTTTCGTTGGGCCTACTGGAAATAGGCATGTTTTTCTGGCGCTTTCACTGATTTATCTCAACATCATTAGTGAAGGATTTCTAGAACTCTAGTCAACACTTACACCCCACTTCTTTTGTACACCTTAGTGTGTTGAGCAATTGGGATAATAAGGGTCTGATCCCACAGAAAATGAAGTTTGAACCAAATACAGCCCATCTTTTTTTCTATTTTCTTGTCAGATAATATAGGACAGCTTACTTGCTTTTCAAATTACTTCTAATCAAAACCCTCAGTTGGCACTTTTATACCACATCATTCATCCTACTTTTGTTGCCAACAATCTGAATAATTGCATTCATAACTGAAGGTCTCACTGGATTAGGGCTGAATACACCAGACACCACTAATCAGCTAAATTAGTTTGACGGACTCACTCTGTGATTGTGGCATCTTATTGAATAGTCTAGCGACTTGGTCTGCCACTGGATTTGATAAGATTGTATTTATCACCTATTTTTTTGACTCACATCATCAAGAATTCTTGATGCGCTAGAAACTCTACAAGGACCTTGCAATCTCAAAACAGGGGACTTGAGAATAAAGTGAAAAGGTAGAGACTCTTGGTAGAATGCTAAGCAAACAATCCTGTTTCAATTCCCGAAGTGGGCTCTCTATGTTAAGGATTCAGATTATACATATTCACAGTTAGTCAACAACAAACTGAGTACAAATTTACAAAGGCATTGCTTTGTTGACTGTCTACTGCAGGAGACACTGAGAGTTAAGGATGAAGAATTGCAAAATCTGGCCAGGGAAATACGTGCAAGGGATTCGACAATTAAAGAGTTAGCAGATCAACTATCTGAAACCGCTGAAGCTGCAGAAGCTGCTGCATCTGCAGCTCAAACTATGAATGAACAAAGGAAAATTGCTTGTGCTGAGGTTGAGCGCTTAAAGGCAGATTCAGAAAAGCAACTGGTTTCATCAAAGTCAAAGGTACTAATACTATAACACTACCTGCAGTTATAACATGTATATCATTGATGATCAGCTATTACATTGATTTGACTCATGTTCTTGTATGTTATATTTGTAGCTGAGGGAGTTCGAAGAGAAGTTTATGACCCTGAGTAAGGAAATGGATCAACTGATAAAGCATAGAGATTCGGCAATTCAAGAAGCACATTTATGGCGTTCTGAGCTCGCAAAAGCTAGAGAACAGGCAGTAATACTGGAAGGGGCTGTTGTTCGGGCAGAAGAAAAGGTCAGAGTAGCAGAGGCTGATGCGGAAGCTAGAATAAGAGAAGCTGTACAAAGAGAGTCTGCTACTGCAAAGGAAAAGCAAGAACTGCTGGCATATGTGAATATGTTACAAGCACAATTAACAAGGTTTATTTTATTCTGTGTTAAAGATTTCACCTGAATACATTGTTGCATAATCCTTTTGCCTCATTCTGATTTCCTTGAAACATATACATGAAATTTCATCCATTCTACATTTTAGTTGGCTTTGAGCTGGAAGAAGGTTTGGGGGAGGGCATGTCAATCAAAAGCTAATCTTTGTAGGAAGACAACATACCCATGTGAACCAATCATTGTTCTTCGTAGGAAGTGTTACCTTTTTTTTTTTTTTTTTTTTTACAAGGATTGTTTTATGGAAAATTACCTTACATCTCTTTCACTTGGTATTAGAAGCTTAAAGAGTTTATGTATAGATACATCATAGACATATCAGTTAAATCTGCTGAAATAGTAACTATGATTTGCATTAACCAATGGAGGATAAAGCTTGTAGCACACACGTTCCTTCAAGTGCTGCTTTACAAGCTTAAACAGAATTTTATTTTATTTGATATTTTAGTAGCTTCTCACATTCACATGATGAAAATCATAAGTTGAGTCCCAAGCCATTGTATCCACCCTCACTTTAAGACAGTGAGAGTGGTGTTTAAGCGTTTGGGTAGGTGAGTGTTTCAAATGTAGGGTTTCAAAGTTGCCTTCTCAGCTGTATTTTCTACATCATTGATGTTGTTTTCTTCTTACTTGACTTAGAGGTTAGAATTACTTTAACAATGGTTTTCCTCTTGCAGGCAGCATGTAGATATGAATCAAGTGTTTGAGAAGACAGAGTCTTGCTCAAGTAGTATTGATAACTTACCACAAACCAAGCATGTGGATTTATCAGAAGAGAATGTGGACAAAGCATGTTTAAGCGTTTCGAGGGCCATCGATCATGTGCCTCCAGAGAATGTAGTTGATCTAACAGTAGATCAAACGAACCATCAGTCAATTGAAAATGGTGAGTGGAGTGATATTCAACCAACAGAGTCCAGAATAGCTGATGTAAGAGAGGTAGCATCTGAAACAGAAAGGACCAGCTTAGACATACCAGTAGTTACATCGCCTTCAAACGTGCATCAAGATCAAGGGCATAACTCTCATCAGCCTTAGTTTTTCAATGCTGTCAAAGGCGCGTCGTACATCACATAGAACCCCATATAACTCTATGTCAAATGTGCCCCAAGCAGTAGCAACTTTTGTTGGTCTTTAGGACCTCATAAGTATTACACTTACAATTATTGCCTGTCAGTGCGTTTAACTTTGTGCATAGTATCTCCTCTTTCCTTTTAAACTTTTTTTATTCTTAAAGGATGACGTAGCTGAGTCGTTTGTGATGTTTGAAGAATCTAAATAAAATATCAGCTGATTGTGGATATCATATTAGAAGTTTGTATCAGTCCTGGACTTGTGTGGAGTCCAGTGCATCACTATGTTCCCAAATGTTTGCATCTGATACTGTGTTACAAGGTTTTGACCCAAAACATACAAGCCTTGTCTTAAAGCCTAGTGTTGTATGACTGTTGTTATTAGAACAACCATACGTGCACGAATAAAAATATTAGAACAACCACAGACTAATATACTACTTAAGAAAAATTCTGAATTCTGCGAGCGCATCGTCACCTTTTTTTCCACATCTACATCATTGTTGCTAAGTCAACTATTGATTTGAGGTCATCCCATTTATTCCCATGATCACCAAACAAGTAATCCTCTTGAGTACTATTTGTGTTCCAAAAGCTAATTGAGCTTGATGATGGGAATGTAGACTCATGAGGTATTGGATTTTGTTGGTTCCTGGTTTCATCCATTTGAGCTACATAATTATTATAATTTTGGTGTGGAAATGACATATCTCTAAAGCTGTTGGAATGATCATGATCAGTACTGTTCTCATCAGATTCCAAGCTACATGCTTTAGAACTTGCATCCCCAATTGGATGCTTCACTTCTTGTGTATTGTATGATGACCTCGTGTAAGTGGAACTACTCCTCTTGAATATCCTACATAGGGTCCAAACTTCCTGCGATTAATAAAACGACGATTAAACTATATCACTCTTAGAATATATCTATATGCAAAATTAAAAGATTGGAAAAATACATTTGAAATGACTATAGTCTATAATAATAATTAATAATAAAGGTAGCTATAGGAGTCAAGTAACAAATCATCTCTTGATTTGCTATATTAAATCAGTAAAAGTGTGTTTATTTTGAGTATATGATAGATAAATATAAATAAACGAAGTATTAAAGTGATATGATTATACTGATTCTAAAATGTTATGCTTACTTGTTTATATTTGAGGTGGTATACCTCTTGAATATTCAAAACATAAGCTAAAAATGCTTCTATTTTAAAAAATGTTTACTTTAGAAAACTGAGATATCTAATCAAGCATTAAATATTTTTGAGTGTCAACAAATATTATCCCCCAGAAACTACAAGAGTAAGTTTTCTCCTTAAAAACACTATCAAATTAGAAGTGAAAAAGTTTGAAATGTATTGAAACTTTAATCAAAATTGCTATTACGATATGGAATTTTATGGAGGACTTTTTACCCCTACACTATTATAGTGTATTTTAAACGTATAGAGATGTCCACGTGAACATTATAAATATTTCATCATTTTGTGTCCACGTGGACACATATATACCTTTAAAATAAACTTTTAAATAGTGTAGGGGTAAAAATCCTCCATAAAGTTTGATATAGTAACAGCTATTTCGGTCAAAGGTACAGTATTTTTCAGACCTTTTCCCAAATAGAACATTGGTTTATGGCTAAACACAAGCTGTTATAAACAAAAAAAATGTTTATAAACTAGCCAAGTCAAATACAAACAGTTATTCTCCAAAAGTATTATTTGTGTAAATATACTTTTGACAAAAAGTACTTTTAAGATAAATAGATTTTAAAATCTCGATCATCAAACAGACTATTGTTAGATCAATGAAAAATGATAATATCAATTGAGTTTAATGACTAATTGGTGGATCAGGCATTATATCTAAAGATAAGTAGGTCTAAAATTGATCATTAGTAAGAACGCATAAAAAAGTATGACGAAGAATAAATATAATTTTTTAAAAAAATATAAAGATAAAATATGATGGAAAATAAATTTAAAAAAAAAGCAATTAATTAAACTTACAGCTTGTTGATTAGTATTGGAAGTTGGTGGGAGACGAAACTCATGCATCATCCAATCAGTTTTAGTGCCTTTGCCAGCACTTCCTCTATAATAAACTAAACATTTTTTAAGTCCAATAATAATGCATTTTGTAGTAGAAGAATAAACAGGCTTGTCAATACCAGTTGCTTTCCAAAATCCACCTTTTGTTACTCTATTTGGTCTTACACTGTTCTTGTATTTTCTTCCCCTCATGCAGAAATAATACATTTCTTTATCATCCGCTTCTGTACACAATATATATAAATTTCTATTTGTTGTATATAGATTATAAAATTAAGTAAATAAAAAAAATTATAATCTATAAATGTGGTTTTAGGTTTGGCTTTTAACTAATATAGATGTCCTCTTATTAACTTTGGGTATACACAAGTAGACACTTAAACTTAAATAGAATTGAACAAGTAGAAAAACACATTATATATTGTCTTATACACGTGGAATCAGTGATATAATTAGAAATTTTATGAAGGTTGTCCAAAAATTTTATAGGTAAAAAAATATTAATGAATGAATGCACTTAGATTTTGTAATTTAAACTATACAACATTAATGATTAATTTTTTAAATAAAAAATATATCAAAAAATTTAAAATCAAACTACATAATATTTTTAGCTTTAATGTTCACGTTTATTTGATAGAAAGTAAACCGACAAAAAAAAAAGATTTCACGAACTTCTAATGACTAACAACAAGAAATGAAAAATAAAGAGTAGAATCAAATGAGAAATATTAAAAGAGATTCTATATGGAGTCTTTTCACTTTTAATAGTTTTATGGTATAAACAAATAAATAGGATTTGCTAATTTACTTTGAATTAAATAATTACATTTAAATTTTATTTAAATTTTTAAAAGAAAAAAAATCAAAAATAAAAAACATAGGAGTTGAACCCGCGCACATCAGGTTGCAAAGGACTTAGCTTGAGATAAACGACTAAAACCACTAAGCTAAGAAACCTTTTTGTTTTTCAAAGGTGTCCAAAATTTGTTATTTAACCATTTAAAGTATCATTCTACTTAAAAATACAATGTAACTTTCACGTTCATCCGTAGGATACCATATAGGACGTAAATTGTCACGTAAGAACGTCATATAGGATGTGTGTCTTGTGCACACTTATAATTGGATTGTATAAATGTCAGTTAAGTCAAGTTAAATGACATATTTAAGTATTATGCCAAAAACAATACATATTTTACTTAATAGATTAAATTTTTAGATAAGATGATCACATATACTCACATATATCATCAATTCACTTGCCAAGTTCATCTACATTTTTGCCTTATGAATTTGTATCAAATATATAAGATAAACATAGGGAGATGATAGATTTTTCATTAATCAACCCCTTTTAAATTTTATCTTGCATCTCCAAAGAAATTGAACTACCCAAGGCTGTCCTTTGGGGCAAAAATATCGTCATTAATCGTTGCAATTAATTATGAAACGCCTCACAAATTTATTTAAGAGAATTATTCACTTTTTTCGGAATAAAATTCAAATATAATATGGCTAAATATGCTAGGGTGTAGTTTACCATATTAATCGATGTATTTTTCATTAATGGGATGAATAACGTTATATATGTATAATTGATATTTATAATAAAAAATTAATTACCTGTTATAAGTTAATGTAACTAATATATTGTGAGTGCATATATACTCTCAAATTAAGTGGTAGTGCTTGATTAGCTAACTACGTATATGGTCAACAAAGATAATTGAGAAATGTGTGTATGCTAATTATTGGTCTAAATAATTGCAGGACAAAGTCAACCAAAATCAGGTCCCCAATAACTCCAAAATGTATCAATCTATATTCTATCACTTTCTATAACAACAGGTTAATTTAAAAATTCTTAGTAAAGACTGCTATAAGACGTTTTAATTATTTATAAAAATAGTTTCGTTCGAAAAAAGCTTAAAAGATGTTAATTGGAAATAAACAAATTGATTTTGTAGAAAGACAAAAGTGAATTCACATTCTTATACATGAGAACTATGAAAGAAAATCTGCTATAAATTTCAATGTTCACCAATATGCCACTTTCTAACGTCTTATGATCTCAGCATGAACATGGAAGTTGTCCATATTCTCAAACCTTAACATTTTTGTTTCATTCAATGTCTGATATATATATTAAAATCTGATTGTTAATATTCTATTGGAATGAAGCATTCTTTATCACATAAGGCTAAAAAACGAGACTCTTGATTAAGAGAGAAGCAACATCATTCACTGCACTATATCCGTCAAAATACATTTACTTTTTGTTCTATTATATGATATTATTCTTTATTTATCTGTTAAAAAGTATATATATTTTTTGTCTCAATTTATATAATATATTTTTGTTTTGAAAAGAAGGTCAATTTTTTTTGTAATTAAAAATAATTTTTTTTATTCTTAAAGAAATGATTTATAATAGCATATATAATTTAAACCATAAATTTAAAAATCTTTCTTTTTTTAATTTTTTTTATGGCAAGTCAAATAATACCACGATAAATTGAAATGGAAAAAGTACGTTCTTATAGGAGAAATTATTTGTTTTCTACTTTTAGTTTTATCTTTAATTATATGATTTTATAATTATATTCATGACTAAGGTCATAAATTTTAATTCTTTTTTTTTTTCAATTCCATACCCAATTAAATCAACCATACAAATTAAAATGGATGGAATAATATATGAATTGTTTTTCCTTCTACGTTTATCCTATAATTATTTAATATTTAATTTATAAAATTAATTTTTTTACTTAAAAGGTGGTTATGAGCTCCTAGTATTTATTATTGGCTACTTTTTGTATACAAGCTCTCTCTGTAAGTCCGGAATTCAAAGGGCAATAAAATTTTTGAAATTTTCAAAAGACCAACTCAATAGATTTTGATATTAAAAGGGTAATATTTGTTACTTTTTTTTAACTGTGTTATTATAGGGCTTTAAAAGTAAGGCTAAAAAATTCACAAGTCTTATAAGGCTCAAAAATTCATGAGTCTTGTAAGGCGTAAATTCACGTTATAATTGTTTTTTACGTTTTTTACCTTACGTAATATTTTTGTGTTTTATTTTTATTATTTCTTACATATGTACCTTTGTTGTTTCTTAATATGATAAATTTAACATGTAAAGTTATTTTTTTGCTTCGAAATCGTTTATTATTTTTAGTACTATCAGACCAACTTTGTAATTTAATTTTTCTTAGATTGTTGAAAAAATATGATTACAAATTTTATCATTTTACTTGCATAATAAACAATTCTGAAGCAAAAAAGACAAATTTACATGTTAATTTTATCATATTAAAAAACGACAAAAATATATATGTAAAAAACAACAAAAATACAATACACGTATTTTTTTTTTTGTGTGTCCTTCATTCAATTTTTAATTTTTAGTTTATAAGGAATGTGTATAAGTCCAAATCTAATAAGTAAAAGCCAACGGATGAGTATTAATTCGTCCATATAACATCCAACAAAAAGGACTTCAAATGAATCTCAACCTAAATTCTTAATTAAGGTAAGTAGCCCAGGATCCATTAACCAACTCCTAACGCAAATTATGAGGAAAAATAATAGTATTTCCTATAATAAAATATACTTATGACTAATGAGATCCAAATTAACAACACACACCAAAAATTACTAAAATGGAGGAGGTAATTTAAATGGGATTTGGGCTATCCAAATTTTCTTTTTGTTTACTTCGACACTTCTATATTACCTAGATCATAACGTAAATAACGAATTAATGAGATTATGATCGTAGTGTTTTGGGTCAGCTTGAGCATATCTCGACTAATTGTTAGGATCGAATCCACGCACACACACTTGATGAATTAAGAACACGAGAACTATCAACAGAAAAAGATGAGAGATCTAGAGAGAGAAAGAAAGAAACCAATATTTCGTGGTAACACCCCGTGAGTAAACTTCTACGGAGGTAGGGTATATATATTGATAAATCAGACTATTTTTTATTACAGATAATAAATTGTATAGCCTAAAATTTAGGTCGGGGCGCTGCACCGAACCCCTCCTTCGGATGGGGGGCTCCCGCCCCCATAATCCCTTGGCAACCTCACCGCGGAGGTTAAACCGCGTAAACAACTTCACAACCTAACACTAACTTCATGTGATATCTTACACCTCCCACCAGCAAACAATAGCGTAGCCACAACTATTGGACACCCTTGGTTGGAAAATTATGTTATATATATATATATATAAAAAAAGTTTGACGCCCTTGACAAAATCTATGTCTTTGACGCGGTGGTAATGTGTGTCTAGCTATTTGAATGAAGGAGTTTCTAGTTTAAACCCCAAATATCACTTTTATTTTGACAATCACTCACCATTATTTTTAAACACCTTTAATAAAATTTCATCACTAATTTATCAACCAAAAAAAAATAAAATTGTTAGCTAGTTACCAACGAAAATTTAGCACGATAAAACTAATATGGAGTGATATTAGCATTTGTAGTGAAATGCTTATACACTTACTTGGAAGATCCCAAGGATCATATTTGTAAATATCAATGTGTCTGATGAGTTCCATGCTGATTCTTTTGTTTTCAACTTTGCGTCGTAGATAAAACCCAATAAGCTCTTCATCAGTTGGATGAAATCGAAATCCTGGAAGAATTACATCTTCTTCCTCTTTGGACATAGTTTTAATTTCATCTACCATAATTTCACTCCTTTCTTGCCCTTTTTTCACTCTATTCATAGCATGGAGCAAGAAATTAATATCATATATATATATATGATATCTATATATATATATATATTGTATGTAAATAACTATTGACTGCCCAAAGAAAATAAAAATGAAATGAAGTTTGTTTATAGCTAGGGACTAATTCAGTAGATCGAGGGAAAATAAAATGGTATATATTGTTGCTTGGTCAACCTCATGACCCTAGCTAGCATACTATATTATATATAATTGTATTTTCTTAATTTGTAACTTAGCAGATAAGTCAAGAATGACTAATAAGTGACTTTATGTTTGTTTTTCACACATATTGGAATTCTTAGTGTGTAATTGGGTTATGTTTGATTTACAGTAAATAGTTGTTCCATTTATCATCTATTATTGTTTTGAGTAAACATGAAGTTAAAATATTGATAGTAAAAAATATAGAGAAAGAAAACATTCACTACTACCAAATAAGGAATTAGCTGACACATAAAATAACAAAAAAAATTCATGTTTATCCCATTTAGCTACTGCTTGACGATGGATTGTAAGAAATGTAATTAGCGAATTGCGTTTAACGACAAATTTGTTGAAGGATACTCACAAATTTTGTTTGAGTGATTTTTTGTTAATACAAATAGATTTTATTGATATAAAATAAAATTTAATGACTTTACTTTATAAATTCTCAAAGTTGAGCAACTTTTTGAGATATTGACTCGATAACTAGTAAGTCGGATAAAAAATATTTATTTTAATATTATAATTTAACCTGTTGTATGAGGTAAAAATTTTTACATTTTATTTGGGGTATAAACAAATTAAATTCTTTAATGTAATTAAAACGAAAAACTCTTCAAAATGACTAAAATAGAAAGTGTTACTACTCAAATATTACTACTATTATATCCTTGAAAAATGTTATACGTTTCCTCAATAAATTTAAAACTAACATATTCCTGTTATAAAAATGACTACCCACATATATCCTACCATTACATGGCCCAAATATCATCACAAGCAACTGACGGAGTCCACTAGTGTGGGTATGACATTGACTTAGAAAATACAAAGTTGGAAGAAAACATGCAATTTAAAGAAAAAACATTTCAAAGACTTTAGAAAGTGCCCAAGCAAATAAAATAAATTATAATAATATCATAACAATAATAAAAGCCAATTAACAACTAAGGACCGAGTCTGAAAGATAGTGAGATCATTGACCAAAGATGCATTTTTGTCAGACTCACCAGTTAACCAAGAAGAAGTAATGCGTCTGCCCCCATTGTGGACCTCATTATTGTCACGCTTGGAATATTGAGTCGAACTAAAATTTTTTTTTCTCCTATTCAACTTTTTCATTTAGTTAATTAGATAGATAATTATTATAGAGTAAAAGAATAAATATACATGTGAATTATTGTAAATGGTATGAATATATCGTTATATTTTTGGAACGTTAATATCCACGTCGTCCTAAATTAAATCATATATGCCCTTCACTCTAGCCTACTAAAATATTTGCTTTGATTCCACGTATTTGTCATGCACTACTGCCTTTTTCAACCTACTAATATAAAAATAAAAAAAAGTTAAATCACCAAATAATGACTAATAGTTAAATAAAATAATGAACCTAATAATTCAAAATACGCATTCTCCGGAAATAACATTATAATTTGATACGTTCAAATTACACGTCCCAAAAAAGAGTATAAGACAATAGTTATTCAAATATAAAACATAACAAAGGTTAGGATCAATTCAATTAGAAATGTGATTAGGACTTGGTTTAATTTCTCTCAATCGTTCTCTTATCGTATTATTTTCGGAGGGTGGGGTGGGGGTTTGTATAATGAACATAGCTTTAATGTCGTCACAAGTAGAAAGTAAAAAAGTAGCAGGATCATGTGTTTTAAATTAATAAAATATGTGAATTCAGAATTCATAAGTAACACCCAATATAATTAACCCTTTCTATTATGTAACATGCAAGATCGGTAGGTTAAGTTCACCTAATTGGTTGGTCCCCTCAATAAGTAACTATCAGTTTAATCTATTTACAGGTGTATGCTTTACTAACTCGTGGATGTTTTTATGATTTCTATTGCAGAGTCGTAAAACTTAAGTTCCATTATAGATCTTTGAATATCCATCTATGAAGGCATCTATGGCTCGTCGTCCAAACCACATGCTCTTAGAATGTACTCGTGAATTCTAAAATATCAATGAACAACTCCTAATTTTGTACTTAGTAACTGAATCTTGTTTTTCTATAAAAATATTACAAAACACATCAAATACTAAAACGCGCTAGAAAGCTTACCAACATTACAAGTTTTAAACATCAAAAGTGTCGTAAATCCGCGACACATCACTAGCCTAAAATTTTCAACTTACTTTCCAAAAGTTTATCCAAATTCTTTCACCATTGGTTTACCCATAACAATCTAAACGGTGGTTAAACCCCCACCCCACCCCTTACTTCCTCTCTCTTCTTCTTCTTTTTATTTTTGGATATTGTTCACCAATTTAAATTTTAACTTTTTTCAACTTATGATAAAACAAGGGGAAAAAAAGAGGAAAATAACGATGACATTATATAAAAATAATTACTTCAATAGAAGATGATTTCATTAGTCCACTATGTACACATTATGTATTTTTCTTTTGTGTGTACTATAAATTCAAAATAAATGAATGAATATTCTTTTCTCCTAATTAAGAATAAGAGATATAAAAACAATAATGCTTTTTTTAGATGAACAATCAGATGGAACAAATATGTATTTTAGTTGGATTCACATTTTTGAGTTAGGTTATAGTAAATTGGCAAAAAGGAAGATATCACGAAATTTATAATTTTTTGAATATTATTTTAAAGTGTTTAGGATCAAAATATGAATCAATTTTTGTTATTTATATAATAAGGATTAAATTAGGACTAATTAGATAAGCCAACATATTATATAAATTTTAATAATTTTACTTTGGTGGAATTGAAAAATGAGGTCAAATATGAGCCAAAGATTTACTATCGAGAGTATTTTTGAATAAAAAAGTTGACATCAGGAATACTTGGGTACTAGTAATTCAAATAGTTAAGGGGCATCTTATCCCTTCACCAATATAAAAATAAAACTTTCATGCCAGTTAGAACATTTAGGGGTCGTTTAACAATATTAGAGAATCTACTATGGGGTCGTTTGATACAAAAATTAATAATGTAAGGATTAGTAATACATGGATTAACAGTGTATGAATTATTTTTGCCAAGTGTTTAGTTCATTATTTCCCAGCTCATCTTGTATTTGGATTAAAACTTTATAAATTTTTTTTTTCTAGTTATACTCTTCCATTACTATCCAATTGAGTCAAAGTAAACAATTGTCGGACAATATATTTTTTTTATGACCTTCTAACTAGTTATGAAAAGAACAATTTTGTTGTCATGTTCACCTTTTTTCCACATAAGTTATTTGAAGATAAATAATTGTCATCTTAGTAAATTGATTACTTACAAAATGTAAAAAGATAAAATATCAACTTTTAAAATTTAAAAGACGGTTAATAATAGTAAAATTGAATAAACCATCTACAGCTACACATAAAAATTGCAAGTGGTAATTTTAATATGCATTCAATTTTATAAATTATTCAAAACACAAATAATTAGAAAACCGCATGTCGCGCCCCATTTTTGCAGAAAACGGGTTTTATGCACGACCTAACAACTCTTTTGGGATTTTGAATTTGGAGTCGCCACCTAACGAATCAAGGCGCGTTAGGGCACCTATCTAGCCTAACTAAGTCTAGCTAAAGTCAACAAGCCAGAGATTAGAGTAAGGGTTCAAATTACCTTGAGGGGAAGGTGTTAGGCATCCCTCGAGGTCCACAAATGTGGGCCCCGACCGTGTTTCATGCAATCTATGTGGGGGTTACAAGTAGCAATCAAGGTCACTTCATTATTATTTAATATAATATACTTACTAAGTGATAACAAATACAAAACAATTAAGAATATTTTGTTATTTTTTTTTATTAATTTAGATATGCAAGGCTAGGTGATAGCAATAAATAAACAATAAAATTTAATTTTTATTTAAGCATATGAGACTATGTTATAAACAAAATTGGCAAATATTAAACAATTAATATGTGCGAAAGTAAAGTTTGAAAATTGATAAGTTTTGAATAGGAATTTTTATTTTTAAAAAAATGTTTGTTTCTTTATAGGGATGGTGCCACGATATTGTTGATCGCGCTCCTCCACCATAGAAACAGTTTTGTTTTGAGGTCGGTCTTAGAAGAAATAATAAAAGTTTATATTTTTGAAAATGATTTAAAAAATTCAGTTTGCATATAGGCACATAAATATTTACATACAAATAAACATAATTCCTTTTGAAATTCATGGGTAGGTGGTACTTCTGGGGACGCGTCGGTTTAATTTAAAAATTTGAACTAGACCTCGTAGTTCCTTTGACTTTCCCACTAACGATAGGTTAGGAGATAGTGCTTATAATTTATTTTCAAAAAAAATAAACAATGTCATAATCAATCCAAAGTTTTAAAGGATGATTGAATAATGACTTTTTTTTTAAAAAAAATATTGCAAAAAAACTTTGTAAGAAGAAAAAAAAATGGAACATTAATGTAGTAAATTTATTAAATGCAAAGATTTTGCTGTGAAATATTCAAAAGCCAAGTAGTTTGTTAAATGCATGAAATGATTTATTATCACTATTATTTTAAGAAAACAACATATTGCATTATAAATGCGGAAATCTTCAAGAGGACAAATAAGATTACTAATTAAATAATATTAACTAATTTTAGGGGCAGGGCACAAATATGCACAACAAATTTTTTTTATTATGGATATGCTAAAAGTTATTTACAAGCCTATAGACATGATTTCTAGGTGTTCAAAAAAAAAAAACGGAGTAACACATATATGCATGATTTTGTAAATCTAAATAATATGAACAATTTAATCCTTAGGCATGGTTTCTACATGACAAGGCAATGCTAAAAAGTTATAACATTTTTAAAACACCTAATCAGCCTACTAAATTATTATGATTTGATTTTTACATTCAAAAATAAATGGAGTCTAGTTATTTTTTAAGACTTATTAACAAAA